AAAATGTATAATTGATATTGTGTAACAGGAAGAAAAGGTCTAAAGGAGCAGGGGAAGTGGGAGGGGTAGGGGAAAGGAAAAAAGGGAAAAGAAAATATATGAGAAAAGGAAAAAATGGAAACAAATTCTTTGCAAATAGGGAAGGGTGGAGTGGTTGAAAGGAGGGCAGGGAAGGGGGAAAAATAAGAACCAAAATAGTCATGTAATGGTACAAGATCCCAATGATGAATGTAACTGTATTTTATACCTAAAATGTACCAATAAACTTAATGGGGAAAAAAAGAGAAGTTCTAGTTTGACTGTTGAAGACCAAGAGGAGTAATGTCATGGGGACTGCAAGCCCAAACAGCTTTGTAGATCTCAGAGTTTGCTTTTAAGAAGTAGTACAAGATGGAATTGCTATGTCAATACACCAGTGGCTAAAGTTATTATGAAACTAGACCTTGGACAAGGCAACATAAGTGTGCAAAGAGCTATGAAAAGTGAACTCGGAAGGGATAGTAACACAATCAATGAAGGACTGTGCAAAAGTACTATAGAACTTTCAGAAAACTCTCTACCTCCAGCTTCTGTTATGTTGACTGGCACAGGAAGTTTGCTACAACCTGGAAAGAGTTGCCGTCCATGCATTACAGTTGTGTTGTGTGTTATTCCCCAATCCAATCATAGATGGCATCAACTTTTAATGTGAAAAATTTCTCCAAAGAGTCAAAACATTGATATGCCGAAACTTCATGACGTAATGGGTACAAGGGCCCTGATGGTGTACACGTTTTCTCGGTGTGTGCTGTGCTGACGAAGTGGACCTTGATGAGGTTCTTGCTGCGAGATTAATTTCTCTCCTAACGGATCATCATCAGGAAATTCTCCAAGTGCCCTCTTACTCACAGACTGTGGTGGAGAAACAACTTGACTACTTTAAAAGAAGGAGCATATTAAAAGTTGTGGAAATGGACTCATTGTTCCTTTGCCAACTTACTCTTACTGTAAACAGAACAGTGCGCAGGCATTTAATGAACAAAAGGATTCTGCAGCTCAAGCTGCCATTGCAGAACCTTTAGAGAATATCATTTAAAAACAGGAGTTTACCTCAAAGGAGAAAAGAAGAAAAGTAAAGCAGTTTCAGAAGGAATATCCCTAGATATATAAGAAGAGATTTCCAACCACAGAGAGTGAAGCAGCACTCTTTGGTGACAAACCTACTACCAATGCTTGATTTTAAGAAAACCAAAGTTTCGTAGTCTCAGATCCTAACTTGATTAAAATTGTCTAATGCTTATAGAACTTTGATACATGAAGTCTTATCTGCGAATCTAGCTCTAGAAATGAAGTCTGTTATTAAGTCTTCTCTAAATAAACGTATTATGTGAAAAACTGCCAGAATCATTATTTATCATTGCGAGCTGCTAAAAAGCTCCTGCATTTCAACTGAACGGATGTAACAGTAGTTTATTTTAACCAAAAACCAAGTATTTTAACCAGAAACAATCTTTTGTTTTTAAACATAACTATTTGGAAAAGCTGTCATGCTTGTACTAAAGTTTTATTTACTTGAATTTTGAAAACTAAGCTATGATCATCAAGAATAATTTGTAATTCTGTTTTTAAAGAAAACGTCTGCTCCTGTGCTTATGGCTAATAGCTGAAGAGCTAGTTGTTTAGGTTGCTTTGTTTCTAAGTATAAGAATGTGAAGAATATTTGGAAGTTCATTGAATTTTCAAGTGCTAAATATTGAAAGAAAAACAACTTGGAAACAGCCCAATTGCCCATCAACTGGAGACTGGATAAAGAAAATGTGGTTTTTTAAATAAAATGGCATACTACTCAGCCATAAAAAATGAGAAATTAGAGACATTTATAGCTAAATGGATGTACATTGAGGTGATACTCGTAAGTGAAATAAATAGGATACACATGTATAAATACCAAATAGTCCTTTAGTGTGTGAGAAACTGAAAGTGCAAATAAGGACTAAAAGTTATAATAGATAATTTGAAATAGGAAGAAAAGGGGGAAAGGGGAAGAGGAAGTGGGAGAGGTTGGGGAAAGGAAAGAAGGGAATGGAATTAATATGAGAAAATTAAAAAGTCTTTGCAAATAAGGAGGAATGGAGGGGTTGAAGGGAGGGGAGGGAATGGGGAAAAATAAGAACTAGAGAGACTATGTAAAGGTGCAAATTTCCAATGATGAATGTCATTATATTGTATACCTAAAATGTACCAAGAAAATTACTTTAAAAAATGTAACCACTTATAAACTTATTTCGAAAACATATTACATGTTAGCATTTAAATAAACCTGAACTCTTTAATTTATTTATACTTTAGGTTTCTTGTATAAGAGAAACCATACGATATGTAAGCTTGTGTGTCTAATTTATTTTACTTAACATTATGGTCTCAAGGTACATCCATGTCCTTATAAATGATTCAAATTTGTCCTTCTTTATGGCAGAGTCTTACAATTCAATTTCTTGAGTATTTAAAAGCCTATTACCAGAGAACACAAAAACTTGTTTTGATGAAATGCCCAACTTTGTTTCTAGTCTAAGTTTTGTAAGTTTAACGAAGGGCTGTTTTAACATCATGAAAACCTTGTTGCTTTAGACATAGAAGACTCTTTGACTAACTTTCTAATTGCATCCAATTGAATTTCATGAATTGATTTTTTTCTTCTTTTTTATTCTTCTAATAAAAATTTAAAATTGAGTGATGCCAAAGTTCCATGTAATAAAATTTTAGTCGTAAAACAATCTTTATATGGGGAGGTTTCATGGTGTTAGGAAAACCTTGACTGACTTGGGTAATAGAGATATTAAACTTTTTTTTTCTCTTTCCCATTAAGTTTATTGGTACATTTTCAGTATAAAATACTGTTACATTCATCATTGGGATCTTGTACCTTTACATGAG